AATGTAAGATATAAATCTTAACATTTTTGTAGGATGGCAATGTAAGATATCAATCTTAATCTTTTTGTAGGATGGCAATGTAAGATATCAATCTTAATATTTTTGTAGGATGGCAATATTAGATATCAATCTTAACATTTTTGCAGGGTGGCAATGTAAGATATAAATCTTAACATTTTTGTAGGATGGCAATGTAAGATATCAATCTTAACCTTTTTGTAGGATGGCAATGTAAGATATCAATTTTAACCTTTTTGCAGGATGGCAATGTAAGATATCAATTATAAACTTTTTGCAGGATGACAATGTAAGATATCAATCTTAACCTTTTTGTAGGGTGGCAATGTAAGATATCAATCTTAATCTTTGTGCAGGATGGCAATGTAAGATATTAATCTTAACATTTTTGCAGGATGGCAATGTAAGATATCAATCTTAACTTTTTTGCAGGATGGCAATGTAAGATATCAATCATAACATTTTTGTAGGATGGCAATGTAAGATATCAATTTTAACCTTTTTCAGGATGGCAATGTAAGAAATAAATCTTAACATTTTTTCAGGGTGGCAATGTAAGATATCAATTTTAACATTTTTGTAGGATGGCAATGTACTTGAATGATACTGATCTTTCCCTTTCTTCATATAATATGCAGATGAAAATATTATAATATTTTTACTTTCCCTCTATTTAAAAAACTCTTATCTTGTGTCCTTCCTCACTGTTTGTTTTCGTAGTTGAAAAAGCTGTGACATGGAATAAGTAAAGCAATGTATAGGAGTGTGAATGGTCCAGTCATACTTATGGAATTTTTACGATGTATATTAAAAAATTAATTCTTTTTTTATATCTACATTTTATGTATATTGAGAAAACTTTCAACTCTTCTCTTGCAGTCATCTTTAGGTTGAAATATAGTATAACAAGAACAAAATCTAAAATACTATAGTATATGTACATGAATAATTGTTTATTGAAATAAAAATACATCTTTTGTTATTACAACGATTGAGAAATATTTACAGTGAAATTTTCAATAATATTGTACAATTTGAAAGAAGTCAATTTTGTAGAGTTGCCAAATAAACATTAAATGTGGAAACAGAGGCAGTTATTTATTAATTTACCTAAATTATGAATTCAAAATAGAAGTTTTGACAACATTGCTTTAATTAGGAATGATATAATAAAGTATAAAGAAAGGTATCCTCAACCAGTCAAAATTCACAAAATGATACAATAAAGTACAGAGAAAGATATCCCCAACCAGTCAAACTTCACAGCTCTTTGCTTTCGTGTCAGAACACACATAGCATTCATCAACACCCATTAGATCTAGTTTGTTACACAGTAAGGTTAGGTAATATTATGAACAGTAATACCCCATTTAGCACTTAGGAGGGGTTCCTGAGAACAAAGCCCTAAATAGGGTCAATTTAACATTACATATATGGAGATATGTAACTGAAGGCATTGTTTCTTACCTGTGAATGATGTCTAAGTGCTTTACTTAGGTACTGGTAAACATAGATTGTTACAGTACAGTATTATTTATTAAAGTAAAAGAATACAAACAGTCTTAAAAAGCAAAGAAACACATCAAACTGGCACAGACCCCTGGGTGAAAGGCAGTGGACATCATTTGGCTCTTTATAACGAAGAACACAAGTGCTGCAATATTTAAAAAAAATCCTGAACTTCCCCTAGTGTGAGAATTGTAACATTGTTTCTCTAAACATGCTTTCTTTATTTTATTCATCACCCCTCCAATAAGTATGAAATTTAACGTAAATTACTCACTATAATATAATCATCACTGGAAAAACAAGTTTTAATTAGCCTTCAATCTTGTTTGGTTACAGAGCCATCAAATAAATAATCAGACCCCTCCTTCCACATCCCTTTTTCAGGATTTGTCATTACATGTAGTTCTCTCTTACCTTTATGACTATATTACTTATAACCAACAGACAGGCAAGATTTTCGTCTATCAAATGATGTATTATATTACTGTTACGACAGAGGAAGTCATGTGACGCTAGTAACATGTCATGAGCTTCTTGAAAATTCATGTCCATTCGTGAAGCCTCGAGTGTTTACTAGATGTGCAATATTCTTGTATATAAGACCGCCAAGAAGTGACGGCAACAATGGAATTGAATTGCAGACAGAGATAGAGATGGACAATTGAGTCATGCGTGTGAATTGTTCATTGTGAATTATAGCGTTTGTTAGAGTTATAACGTGACTGTGGAAATTATGTGTATCGCAAAGTTGTATTGAGAAAGAATAAACTAGTTTTATTTAAGTAAGGACTTGTATTGCTAAAGTTTCTTCGGAAAGAATTTTTACGGAAAATTAACAAATGAACACAGAGGCGTAACATTGCGTTGTTTTCTGTAGATCACTTTCTTAGAAAATAATTTTTTCCAACAGGAACGATATCGTGTAGATGGATGATGTTTTAACAGCTCATACTGTGTTGCTAGAAATGCCAGAGAAATTGTAATAGTTACGGGACATTGTCTGCCTTTTGCATGTTATTATTCTATGTTATGTGTTGCATTATTTTATTAAATAAAAATTATTTAGTGCACTACTACCATTAGTATGAAAAAGTAGTGTTCAGAGAGATATAGATTTATATAATTTTTTTCTCTCTCTCAAGGAAACAAGAGCTCTATAACGAATTAGCTTAAAGTGGGGTGGTGCTGAATGGGGTCTTACTGTATTCTTCTTCATTAACATTATTTTCTGATACACATTAAATTTCCTGTTAAATAATTTATCCCTGCTAATTATACTTCAATACTGTAAGCTTTAAAATTAGTATTTGCTATGTTTATGAATGTATTTACTGTTACATTTTTTCTATTCCATTAAGATGGTGTTAAAAATAAGAAGGAAGCAGATCAAAAATTTAAAAAGGTAAAGGCTGGGGATTATAGGTTATAAAATTATTGTACATACATGAGTATAAGAAAACTCAGTGGGTAGTGAGGAGGCTCACAAGGAAATCTGGCCCTGATACTATTCAGACCTGTTTTACCATTGGCAAAATACCACAGACTAATGGAGCTGTTTAACTTGAAGAAGAAAAAAAAAGGACTCTTTATATCTATATGAACACAAGGTGATGCAGAATCCGATCTTAGACAATCACATTTCATATATACTTTTCTCTATATATTGGAACTGTAAAATACATGTATACTTCTATATGATAGATGATATTTTTGACACTTTTACAATTAACAAAATGATCGATAATACTCCTACCAAAATAAAAGACTAACACATTTCATCTACCACAATAAAATCTTATAATTTTGGAAGAGTGGGAGTTTATGGTATTGCATACATTTTTAGATAACAGGATCATATTACACTTCCATTACAGTAATTAGTAGAATAATGATGTCACATTTTCTGCTACCTAAAAATATATAAAAATAATGTATTTACAAGGCAGCAAATGGAAGTCCAGACATATGGAAAAAACCCAATAACAAGGAGTTAAAATACAGTTGAATAAAAAAACAATTAAGCAATCATATTTTAATTTTAATATTCAACTGGAGTAGTCGAAACATATTTTTTGTATTTCAGTCATTAGAATCTACTATAATCACTATTTTTCTCCTTCACTTCAGGCCCAATTCTCGGGAAACCTGCAATTACACAAAATACAAACAAACTATTTTATTAGCATATGTGTGTGTGTGTATTTAATATTATTTTCAAAGCAGATATGTTTTCATTTTAGAAATAAAATAATATGTTTATACTTCTTTTCTTAACATAATGTTATATCATACAGTATTAGTTTTGAATCTGAATTAGACACAGTATCCAACAGCACTGAAGTACTGAACACATATGTTTAATGGATATCTAAAATTTTTGTAAAAACGTTAAAGTAAGAAAAAATATACAATCACTTCTATTAATTTTAAACCTTAGATTTTCATCTATTAAAATACCAAATGCTAAATATTTCAACAAAGGGACAAAAAATCTAATTGAAAACTAAAAGAAAAAAGTACTAATTTTTAATATCATGACATGCATCTTTTAAGTTTTAACTGATTTTGATAATAAATTCAGTAAGATCAATTAAAAACAATTTGGAAAAAAGTAACTTTAAAGCTGATGCTCCTAACCCTACTATAAACATTTAGTCTACATAATCTAGGCTTTAATAAGAGATTAAGAAAACAAATACTTGATACATACTTTGTCATCAAGAATATGTAACATGCATAAACAATGTTAAGTACTATGTTTTAAATTAATGTTTTAATTCTAAAGTAAAATGTCAAATGTTGCATCATTTGACTTTGCATTTGAAACTAGGTATTATTATACAAGTCAAATACTTCTATTTTTTACACTTTTTTACAGAGTTAATAATATCTTATATGAATAATTATATACATCAATGCAGTAGCACTTTGCCACAGGTGTGAGCGGTGGTGCCACTGACGACATGTTTAGCACCTACATAATTTGTTCACATTGAATTAACTCAACAACTGAACATTGAAATGCCACCACAAATAGACTTATGGTTAGAAAAATATTAAAAAAAAACTGTTCATACAGCAAAATTGTTAAACAATGCACATCTAAAAAGACAATATTTTGAACAAAGACTTAAATGATCTCCAGGTAAACTAAAACAGGAATGTGTTTAGGACAGCAATCCAATCCAGAGCAATAGGCTCATCCACAAAGTGAAGGTTATGGTTAGGAAAGAAATATCTAACCCTGTAATTCAAAAAGCCATTATAATGAAATTGATTATGCCTTTGGTCACTGTTAACAATATACTGTAGTAGGTAAAGACTGAAGTTGATTGAGTCTCACAAGCCCAAATTTCAAAAGCTTCCAGCCACACCTCAATATCAATGGCTATTTACATGAAATAGATAGCCAAAGAAACTGGAGACACAGCAATGTCCTTTGTCTGCACACATCTGTCAACTTTCCAGTGTAGCTTCAAAGGAACATATGTTTTTGGTCTTGGAAGATGATGTCATTGTACTAGAGGTGAGACTGTAGGAAGTTTACTGAGGAATATGATCTAAAATTGATCTTCTTAAAAGCTTGTTATAATGGAAACTATGGTGTTGGGCAATAATAATCATCACACTAAATATGAGTTACAATGGAGAAAATAATTCCAAAGGCACCACTCTGAATCTAAAATACTCTTTTTGTTAAATGCAATTAATAGCATTATATCACATAATGCACAATATAAGAATTGGCCTATTCTGAGAAAAATTTAGAAAGTTATGACTTTATTACAAAGCTTTGTTCTATGTTTACAATAAAAACCAAATAGATCATCGTGCTGTTAGAGATTGGCACATCCAAGATATCAAGATTTAGTTTTTTAACATTTTTGAGTTTTCCCTATACTGTGATTCCCACTGACACAAATGTGTTTTTGGACCGGAGGAGTAGCCATACTATGTAACTTGAACTGAAATAAGTACCTCCAATTATTTGAGACAGAGCAGGTGAGTTTAATGACTTGAAGCAGAATCAGACCACTGCAAGGCTGTGCAAAAGGAGTATGAGGTAATTTTGACTTTATTCATAATTAAAAAAAAAAAACTGCTTAAAAGCAAAGAAGCTAATTTATTTTGTATTCAATAATACTTGACCCACCCCTTTCAGACCCCCTTTTGCTCCTCCTGTAAGTCACTTTTTGCTCACCACTACATGCTCCATCACTGTCTATACAAACATGTGATACACAAAAATTAGTTCTATATTTTAAATGCTTCAATATTAGATGCTTCGTCAGCTGTTCAGTGTTAATCACACTAACATTATTGCAAAGGTTCACACAGTAAATGACTGATTATACAAAAGGAATGAAATAATATAACTATTATTTCCTTGTCAAACTTAATTTGCTTTTCTAATGAGATAATAAATTACTGATTATATGACACAGGATTTAAAATACTTTACCAGACCAAAAATATTTTGATAGAGGTATTTTATTCTTCTAGGAACTTTATCTACAGTATATTTTTTTTTCTTCAAGGGCTCTCCAGGTCCTGTAAATTGAACTTGGAAATTTCCAGGTATTTCAGAATTCACACAAACATTAAGAAACATTGATTAAATGTTTAGAAACAAAACTTCCTGTTAAACAAAATTTAATGGAACAAACTCATGACCTAATGTACATATTTAAAGCATAAAGACAGGTGTCTTACGTATGAATTGTTTCTACAAGCTCTAATGAACTAAACCGTCACCTCATAAATCTCATTGTAAAAACACCTTACCTGCTCATACACAGTCCAAGCCAAAGCAGTCATGAGTGTCCTTCTAAGAACCCTTGGAGCAAGACCCCTAAAGAAACCTATTAAACCATATTCCTGTAAGCAAAAAAACATGTAAGGCTTCAGAGACAGTACTAAAGACTTGAAAGTGTAAAACTGAACCTGCATTTTCATAAAAATATTTCTGCACATTTGTATGTTTCAATGCTCATTTATAAGTGTTTAGCACAGAAAATTAAATAGATTATGTCATAGGGATAATTATTCATATACATAAAAAGATGGAATAATTTTATCTTGTGTCATACATATACACACACGCACACACAGTCATAATCAGTAAATTATATAAAATCAAATGCACTAAAAAAAAAGAAAAGAAAAGAAAAAGAGTAATTACTGTTAAGCAATGGCATTTGAATCATTATTGGGATGTTTTTACTAATTTTAAAGCTCAGTCAAAAATTTACTTCTCAATAATTAAAGATAATTAGTAATTTAGACAAACAACCAGGTTTAAGTTCTTAAATTCACTGAAAATGAGTTCTAAAAATAAAATATCTTAGAAAAACCACCATTTTTAATTTGTAATTCTATAAAATTCCCCAAATCAATTTCAGTACAAAATCCTTCACAAAACAGCTGGTTTAATTAAAAACAATGGCCATCAGTAGAATGACTGATCCACTAGTTTCGATGGTCATAGCTTGTGTGTGTGTGTCATGATGAATACAATGAGTTTGTTTTCTTTGGCACAGACATCAAATTATTTTTTACTTGGGAACCTCGACCTTTAACCATTTAAACCTAAAATCAGTAGCATTCTTTCTCAGGAGAAGTGACCTATAATGTTCAGAACTTTATTTATTATTCAAAAAGATGTCTACAGACAATATCATCACTACATCTCCCAAATTTCTTTGCTTGGAGGGATAAAAAATTAAAAACAGAACAAAAAGCTTGGCTATCAGAATTTTTGATTTTTTGTTTTGTTCATGTTTTATGTACATTGTGAATCTCGTGCCTCATGAGACTCAAGACTGTTTGATGAAAGAAAATGCATGTTTAATCCTTATGGCAGGATTTGAGGGTCCTCAAAAGTCCTGGATTTTTTTTTAAAGTCTGTAAGAAACCCACCTAGAGGAAGTCATAAGAAATTCGATAGAAGCTACAGGATTACTTTATTGTGTCACTAAAGGCTAACTAACAAAATAATAAATTTGGTGACAACAGAAAACTTCCCCTTTCTAAATATTGCAATTTAGTACGACACAAGTAAAAATCTAGAGAAAAAATACTTCCTAGATTGAGTAAAGCAACTAAGAACAAGCTAGTAGAATTACAGCTACTTAATGTTGGTTAATAGACATCTAACTCTGATAGCTTCAAACAAATAAAAAACATAACAATACCTCTACTTATTATTTGTTAACTCACGTCCTTAATATTTAAAAACAAAAATTACATTATAGGATTTATTACTTGTAGCAATTCTCTGAATTACAAAATAAAACCAATGGTTATGTCTCTTATACAATTTTTTTGAAAGCCCAAATCTTGTCTAAATAATGCATTATATAAACTCCTCAATTACAAGCCACATAAGCACCTATTACACCTAGATTAGAAAGAATCAGTTAATTAATTAAAGAGGCCAGCATTTGCAGGCAAATGCAACATGTCTTCATCATGCAATTTAAACATGACCTATTTTGACACCAGAAAAATCTACTTGTTGAAAGGTATCTTTGTACCAAATTTCATGTAAGTTGGTGGAAAGAAGGGTAAGTAATTGACCAAAACTTCTAATATTATGGATTTATTTAACATTTTGATCCCACCCTAAAATGACCAAAAATGATACTATCCCATATTTGTGTAAGTATATGTATGGGCCTTGTAAAAAAAGTAGTATTTATGTACCAAATCCAATGAAAACTGATCAAAATTCAGCAAATTAATTGTCAAAAAACCCTTAAACTATGTTTTTGTGGCACATTGACTCACATATATTTACTAAAAATGGGCAAGTCTAATATTTTTGTTTTTCAATGTGTGTTGCTTGTAGAAAAGTGTTTGTACCAAATGCCATATAAACTGGTCATAATATGGCTGAGTAACTGACCATAAAACCCCAAGATATTCTTTTTTTATGAGCTCTGACACCCCTAAAAAGTCTCAAAATGGAGAAATCCAACTTTTTTGTATGTCAGTGTGTTGAGCACATGAAAATTTGTGTGTGTTAACTTGCATCTTGATTGCTGTAAATATGACTGCAAAGTAGCCCAAAACATATGTTTTTGGGTACATTGATTTTTCACTCCATAAAATCCTTGAAATATCTAAATCAAGAAATAAAAGAGATGTCTGGGCATATTGGGCAAAGATATAACTCTACCATGTTTCAAGTCAATCTGCTGAGAAACGAATGAATAAATGGTTGTCAATTGAAAAGTGTTTGGAAGAAGAAAGAAAGAAGATTAAGGAATAAAAGAAAGTATGTCTCTCTACAGAGACATAATAAAACAAGAGAATCTTGTTTATATAAAGCAAAGAATTGCTTAATCAACAAGTCAGGAAGAAAACCTTAAAATGACCATAAAAGATCTAAACTCACAGTGAATAATATAGCCAGCAGTATAAGTATAAGGAACAGAATAATAATTTCCTTAAGCTTAGCGAGAATTGTGATAAACATGTTGTTGATAGACTTAAAACATATGTTTGTGTTGATCTGTCTGAGCATGAAGGCAATGTCTCCCAAAAGCAAACCAGTTTAATATTTACAAAAATTCAGACAATTCTAAAAATACCTAGAAACTTTATAAAAATCAAACACTGGCCACAAAAAATGGGAAATTATTGAATAAGAAGATCAGGGTGGTTAATGCTGTGGAACTGAATTTTACGGATTTAAACATGAACTAGTAAAGGACACCAAGACTTAATGTGATATTCATAAGGGTCCATAATTGAAAACAAAACTTAGTTTGAATGAATGAATAGTTTAGATAATTAAGATTTGTGTGTTTCAAATGTTAAAAAAACAGAAATGTTGGTTAAAAATTAATTTTAAGCCTTCTACAAACACCTTGCTTTTTCAATTGGAAAATAATTATGAAAAAATAATGATAAACCCTGTTGGTATGGGAAAATAAAAGCTCATAATAAGTTGGTTATTCTTTATTCTAGATATTAAACAAACCTAAAAATGTATCCTGTTTTTCTGAAAAAATTTGTGGATTATTTACTTTCTAATTTAAGAATTTAATCAACTTTAATTTGTTAAATAGATGTCTTAATAGGTTAGTACATGCAGAAATAAACCATGCAGCTAGTGAAGGGTAGGAACACAATATTTATACCTTATAAACATAGCAGATTGCTACTGAAACCCCCTTGAATTTCCTAGGGTACAACTGCATATGAGTTTTTATAACATCTGAAGGCTGAGTAAAGATAGAAGCCATTATTCCTGAAAATGTTCCACAGAGAAATACTGTTGGAACTTGAATAATTCCATCTCTCCATGCTTGAAAAAAAAAAGCTATATTAAAATCAAGTTATCATGATAGGAACAAATTACCAATCTAAACACTACAGTGTTGAACATGCACTAAAAGTTTGTTTTTACCATCAGCTGAATTAACTAAACACTAACAGTTTAACTTTTTCTTACCCAGCAAAAAAATAAGTCTATACCATAGAAGATCATATCAGTTATTTTAATATAACAATAAATTTGAAGAGAATTATAATAGCCTATGCATTTCAAATAATGTGTCTAGATGATCCAGACAAGTATAGTTAAAACAGTTTTCAATATCATTTTCTGAAATAGAGCTTAAAATAAAAACTTATAATACTCAAATTTAACAGTAGCACAGAACTAACTATTGATGTAATGATGTAAGTACACACTAAAGATAAACTATTCGAGTTTGGCAAGTTACAAACTGATATATTTTACGGTTACCCAACAATATTTTATGGCTAATAAATGTGAATGTGGAAGTTATATAAAATTATTTTTTTGAATAAATTAATTTCTGGGGAAAATCACGAGTACAAGATAACTTCTGAAAAAAAAAGAGTTAATTTAGCATCTTTCTGTATATAGAAGCTTAAAGCAAAAACGTATTTCCTGAGAATTAGTTAAATTCCAGTAAGGAATCTTTTTTTCGTAAAAATTATTTCCGAAGAAACTTTAGCGATACAAGTCCTTTCTTAAATAACACTGGTTTATTCTTTCTGAATACAACTTTGCAATACACTTAATTTCCACAGTCGCGCTATAACAAACGCTATAATTCAAAATGAACGTCTCACGTGCTCGACTCAACTGTCCGTATCTATCTCTGTCTGCAGTTCAAATATACATTGTTGCCGTCACTTCTTGGCGGCTTATATATACAAGACTACCGCATATCTAGTAGCCTCTCGAGACTTCAGGAAGGGACGTGAACGTTCGAGAATATGACGCGTTACTAGCGTCACGTGACCCCCACTGTCGTAACATAAGCTTTGCCTTTCTTTCTGTTAAGCTTATATACAAATACTATTTCCTTAACTAACGACCAGAGACGTAACACTTATTTTAAATTTTAGGCTTAGCACTTTAATTCTATAAGATATTTAGGGATTGAAGAATCATGATAAATGTTAACTTGTTGAAAAAAGCAAACTATTTTTATCTTCATTTAAATTATATAATATTCTGCAACCCCAGTGGAATCCGTGATACCACATGGTAGATTATCAAAACATTTTCCAGAAGGTCTTAAATAAACCAGATTTTTCTCATCTTTGCATGTTTCTCTTTAAAAGAATATAACAGTGATAAAAATAGTCAGTTTTTATTCCTTATGTTCAATATAAATATTGTTGCGTCATCGAGATCATGTGCCTATTCTCACGCCCTCTAGTTTCTAGAACTATCCCGTACCTTGGCGAATGCTCTAGTATTTACTAGATAGGGTAGGCTGGTATATAAAAGAGGGTGACAATGTGAAGAGAATAATGTAATGTGTGTGTAGATAGTGAGTAATTGAACTGCAGTCAGAAGTATTATTGAGCACGTTCTTTGTTATAGCATTTGTTTAGCGCGAATATTGAAATTAAGTGTATCGTAAAGTTATATTCGGAAAGAATAAACCAGTTTTATTAAGTAAAGACTTGTGTTGTCAAAGTTTCGTCGGAACGAAGTTACGGAAAAATCAATTAACAAACGGAGACGTAACAATATTATAATACTACTCTTCATCTTTTGCTGTTCCATTTTAAAATACTTATATTTGTTTATGTTACATGTAATTATTGAATACTTGTCTATTTTTCATTAAAAAAATTTTATTCTGCTAAATTGAAGAAAAAAAGTATTATATAAGGAAAGATACAATTACTCACATTCTGGTATATGTTTCTTAGTTTGAGTGTAGAACATCAGATAAATGCCAGAATATGGTGCATCTCGTAATAGTGTGGGAATCAGTCCACTAAATAAACCTATATTAAAAACATTTTAAATGCTTAAAACCAGCTTCTGATCAACAATTGAGAACTATAATAACTTTTATAAACTATGAATTATTATCATTTTAAAGTTAGACCAAAAGTGTTTTTTGCAGTTATCAATCACACAATTGTTATAATGCTAGAATAGGGTCTACTGCATTTCAGCAAAGGCTAACTGGTTACTTAAAACTAACAATACACAATTGCATAAAATTCAAATAAGCCAGCTACTATTATTATTATTAACAGCAAGCTGATTACAGTGTGATTTGGGTTATTGATTCTGAAAATCTACTTCTAGACCCCATCATGCCTGGGTGATTTTCCAGATATGTTTTTGTCCCTCTTAGTGGGGGAGTATGCCAAACAGATAAGAACAATGCCGACCATCCTGTTAGCTCCTAAACTATATGAAGACTTTGCAGCCAAACAAATAAATTCAAACATAATGTGAATTAATACAAGACTAGAGGGAAAACTCATGCATTCTAATACAAAATACCACAACCAGAGTATGTAAAATATAAAAACAGTATTTAAATTAAGTAATTAAAACAGTAAAGTGACCTCCCTAGAATACTCATGTACGAAGTTAAGTATGTAGTGTTTTCAATGAATCTGACAGCCATGGGGGTGGGGGTGTTTCAATGAATGAGAGGTTAAAACACACTATACCAACCAAACACTTATTGTACAACAGACATTTTGTGCTGAATAGTCTGATCAAAAATGACAAACCAATCAAATTATTCAGTAAGAGATACTGTATATAGTGACAATCTGGGTATCAAGGGTAAATACTAAAACTCAATGGTATTGTTCCCAGATTCCTACTGAGCAGGATGACAGCACCAATACTCTTAAGTGCCTATAAACAAATAAAGAAATTTACAAACAAAACCTCAATAAATAAATACTACTATCTGAGATGGGGCTATGAGGGATGACAGCTTCATTCCCCAAATATCTTTCCTTTGCAATACACAGTATTATCTTCACCCACACCTCCCTCATGCATATGGTGACGTTGTCTGTACTTACTTAATCTTAATTTCATTTTTGCATAGTTTAACACAGTTTAAAAAGCTTCCCATGCATGCAAACATGTGTGCACATTACTCCTTTAATTGTATAGATATCTAATCAAAAACACCTTAAATGTGAAAAAAAAAGGTGCAACCATAAAAGGTTTGAGTATGCAATTTAAAAAAAATGAAATCAAAATTGACAGCTAAACCGCTAGCTACACTTATAACATTGATAAGAATCTTAGAGCAAATATTCATTCATTAATTAGCCAGGCCACATTTTTTGTTCAGCTTTGGGCATGATGGTGGGTAAAATAAAATATGCAGTCTAGCTAACTAATGAATGAATATTTGCTGTAAAGTTCTTATCAGTCCTGTAAGTGTAGCTAGCAGTTTGGCCACCAATTTTGATTTCATTCCTTTAAGTTGTATGCTGAATCCTTTTTTTGGTCGCACTTTTTTTCACACCCAAGGTACTTTTGATTAGCTATCATTACTTTTTGTCAATACACACCAAATAAAAAAGTGACATTTGACAGTAACCAACATTAGTCATAAGATCGCAACCCTACTATTCGGAATAGACATATACTTTACAGAACCAACCAGATACTTCAAAATATATGGTGTTAGCAGTGGTGTAGCAAGGGTTCTCAGCACCCAGGGGCAAAGACACTTTTGGTGCCCCCACCTCTGAAATGTTTTGATAATTTGTTTTGT